GGGTAACCAGCGTCGCTTATGTGACGCGACCTAAGGTCAAAGGCCCCCGTGACTTACCCGGTCGAGGCTCAGCACGCCACTCTCGTCCATGTGGAAATGAGCCTTAATGCCTTTGGATTCGTACTCCGGGTGCTTCTTGAAGCTCTCCCCCACACCGCGCAGCTTCACCTTTGTGAGGTTCAGGGACCCAAAGGCTCTGAGGCAAGAGGGACACGGGGGGGGGGGCAGTGAGGCCCCTCCTCATTCTGCAGCCCGCTTCCAGCTCTGCCGGTGAGATGCCCAACCCCTACACAAGCCAGGCATGGATCTTTTCCCTCGACTGCCTGCAGGTCCCAAAAGGAGCGGAGGGGACACACTACGTCGGGCCAGGTGGAGGGCGGGGTTTCCACCCACGTCTTGGGCATTCTTCTCCCCCGGGAGCTACGCAGGCAAAAGCTGCTGCCCCCCTCCCCCACCCCCAAGTCGGCCTAGAACTGCCCTCACCGTAGGTCACTTTCGCTCAGGAAGCTCATGTCGGCATAGTTGACCTGGAATTCGAAGTCGTCTGTGTAGCGGTTGAAGGTGATCACCTTGCGCTGAGGATACGGTGCCATGCGCTGGAAGAGGATGCGCCGGTTGTGCTTCAGACTCCTGGACTCGTCCCCCTCTTCGACTTCCCGAGTGAACTCGACCTGTGGGAAGGAAGGGGGGGGGCGGGGAAGGCGGCCTGCTTGCTCTCTTTGCCACTCTAGAAAGTGGCCCAGTTAATTCCCCGATGGCCGCCCGATGGCCACCTCTACCTGCCCTTACCTGGATCGGGTACATGGCTGCGTCACGGACAACGAAGGGCTTCACCTTGAAGGCTTTGCTCAGAGCAGCTGCCTGGTAGACGGCACCCATCGCAGCAGCCTCATCAGCATTGATGTTCTTCCCCAGCTCTTCCCTGGAGGAGATGGAGATGCTGTGCCCCTCTGCTCTGCCAGTCAAGTGAAGGTCAGCCCCCCCTCCCCACCCCATTGTTAGCTACACCCCATTTCACAGGAGATAATGCCTGGGGTGGAGTGTCCCCAGGAAAGAGCTGGCCTCAGTCTCCATGCCTGCAAGTCCCGGGTTCTCAGGCCAGCCAGGAGTGGGGCGACCCAGGAGGGATGCCTTGGATGAGGTGCGACGGGCTCCATGCTCAGCCACCCAAGGTGGCAGTGGGGAGGAGGCCAAGGAAGCCGCCTTACTTGCCAACCACTTGTAACAGAAATTCCTGCACTTTCGGCACTCGGGTAGCCCCTCCAACGAGGATCACTTGGTCAACCTCATCCTGAGAGGGGAAGAAAAAGGCACAGAGCCGGTTTTAGGAGGCAGGCCGAGCCTTGCCATCACATGGACAAATCCTGGGTGTAGTTCTAACTGAGGGCGGCGTTCAGTCAGAAACAAGAACGTATCCCGGTTAACAAAGTGATGTTTTCCAAGCAGAAGGAGCAGCTGCTGTGCAATCCGGCCCCTTTCATCGGTAATAACTGGTGGAGCCCTGTGACCCCCAAAGGTTGCATCCCATCCCTCCTGTACCTACCAGGCTCATCTCAGCGCTACTGAGGGCCTGCCAGACGGGGCCTGCCACCCGCTCGAACAAGTCAGAACACAGATTCTCCAACTCTTGTCGGGAAACCTTGGCCTTAAAATCGATGTCATCCAACAGACCCTCAATCTGGAAAGAAGAGAACCTGAGAACCGGCGTGGGAGGCTCCCCTTCTTCTCCAAGCCACCCGCTTCACCGAGCTGCCAACCCTAGGCCCCTTGCGCCTGGCTGCAGTCAAGAGCTCTGGGCGCCACCTGCCTGAGCCATGTGGTCCACATTGGCACTCAACACTGTTTTCACCCGGTTGGCTTCCTTCAGCAGCTTGGCCATGGCACGGAGGTTCTGCCGGACATCCTTGCCCGGATGCTGCTCATTGAAGAGTTTGGCCAGGTGGTCACGCAGGCGCAGCTCCATCTGCAGGCCTCCCAGCGTCCGATCGAAGCTGAGCGAAAACAGCCAAGGGAGAAGGACGTTGGTGGGAGCTTCGTCCTCTCCTCGGACTCCATTCCCCCCACCCCTAAGGCTTGGCCTTCCCTCAAACGTCTGACTTCTTTGCACATCTCTTTCCTTCTGCCTTGCCAGAAGATGAGAGATCAGGCTTCAAACAGGAATTCTTACCCAACACCCCTGATCTGCAGCTGAGGTTGGACCCCCGAGTCCTTGGATTTCATAGTTTGGTAGGTTACAATGGTGCAGGTGGTACTTCCTGCCCCCATATCGTAGAACATGATGTTCTGAAAAGAGAAAAATGTGGCACTTCAAAGGCCCTGGAAGAGTCATTCAGAAGGTTCCTCTAGAAAAGGGATGCGCCTATTCCTGAACCAGGTTGGGAACAGACCTCCCTGAAAAGAGTCGACTTCTGTGGTTGCTAAGAGTCAGTCCTGATGGCACATAATCAATAAATCCACAAAAGCTTCATCTTGAAACTGGGAAAGAGACCGCTGTCCCTGAATAGTGCACCATCCAGTTTGCCCCACCAACCTCCCTGGCCCAACCCACCTGAGCTGTGGCATTGATGTCTTTCCTCCGGAAGACGCCATAGTTCAACGCCACAGCGGTGTTATCATTGATGAGCTGCAGAACCTTAAGATCGGCCATTTTGGCTGCATGCAGGACGGCTCTCCTCTCTGCTTGGTTGAAGTATGCAGGGATGGTGATTACTGCATCTCTGACTGGTTGCTCTGAAGGAATAGCGAAAGCAGCTAGTTAAACGCAGTTCACATACCTTTTAACTTATTGTCCTTTACTTCGCTTGCAGGCCAATTTGAAAATGGATCTATTTACAACGCTTGTCTCATTTCAGCAATATACTAGCCAGCTAACACAACATTATTGCTAAAAACAACTCAAACATTATCAGCAATAAAATAAAGATCTAAAACTGCGCAATGCTTGCAGCACTTTTGGTAAGTTGCTGTTAAAAGCTTGCAATAAAGTTAAAGTAATGTTAAAGTTGATTGCAAACTCACTAAAATTGATTGCAAAGACACTTGGTCTTCCAGAAGAGAAGGAACCCCCACCCCCTTTCCAAAAGATTGAACATTGCAAAGGGATGCAATTGACCCTGAAAATACTTGTTTCCTCTTCCTAACGTTTCAGGGAAAAAGCCCAGTAAGCAATCTAGTATTGTATCCTAATCTCATTGCTCTGTACTTCTAGATGGAACTAACAGAAAAAAAAAATAACACTACCCGGAGAATCACTTCCCCAGCCTTTCACTCACATCCATCCCCAAAAGTAAATTCTCATGCCTCCATGTACACACAAAAGCAATTCCAACCTGCAAAGTCCTCAGCCAGTGCCCGAGAATAATTCAGGACCATACCCAGCATCTCTTCTGGAGAATATTGCAACTTGCTGTAAAGAATAAAAACGATCGAGTCGTTAAAGATGCTCGTAGAAATACGTTTCGCAGCAAGACTTTATCCGTACAACTGCAACTGGTTCACATCCCATTCCTTGAACAACGATGACAGGCAAGTGCCTACCTCCCACCACAGTTATTCCAACAGGCGCTTAATGCCCAGAAGGGGAAAAAAATGAACAAAACGCAGGACTTATTTCCCGCAGGTACAAAACTCTCTGGCTCAACTTGGTCGTTGTGTCCGAGCAGGGAGAGATACCCACTCTGAGAGTCTAAAGATGACCGTCTCCCTCCTTGCATCTTTCTCCAGCCGATGCTCTGGGAACCACGACTGGTACTGAGCCACTTGGGGGTTGTCAAAATGTTTGCCCAGAAGGTCTTGGAAATAGCGGAATGTGAGCTTTGGAGTTTTCATAGCCTGTAAAATGAAAGGGCCACAACACCCAATGCTCAGTGGCGGCAGTGCTTTCTCCTCCCAATAAGGCTCAGGTGGAGCCACTTCCAAGTGGCAAACCTGGCCCTGCATTTTGCAGTGGGGACCCCAAAGGCCAGGAGAGCCTGTGAGCTGCTTAGTGACGGGAGCAGGGGGAAAAGAAGAACGGCCGGGCCGGGCAGGGCAGGAAGAGCCCGAGTGCCGCCCGAGAGCAGAGGATCCAGGGGGCTGGCAGGGCTCACCATTCCCGCTGCGCTGTCCCCGAAGAGCCGCTCGGTCTCCTTCAGCGCCACAGCCACGGGGGTTTTCCTGCGCGACTCCCTAGAGCGAGCAAGGCAGACAGGCCGGCCGGTGAGTCTCCCCAACCAAGCGGGGAGCTTCCAGCTGAGGCCCGGGGGGGGGGGGGGGGGGGGGGGAGGGGGCTCCCGGGCTCACTTGTTCAGGACGATCTCCATCGGCACCCCGGGCTTGACCAGCGCCACCTTCAGGGACTCGCTCCCCAGGTCCACCGACATCACAGCCAGGGAGTCTGCAGCACAAAAGCCTCGCTGGCTCCGGTTCTTCCGCCGAGGGCGCCGCCCCCGCACGCCCCCCCACTCCCGGGGGCGCCCAGCTCTCCGCCCGGGCCCCCGCCCCCTCCCCTGCCCCGCAGGCCGCAAGCCCGGCCGAAAGGCTCCCGCGCCTGGCTCGCCAGGGCAGGGCCGGGCCCGCGACGGTTGGGGCCGCTTCTTCAGCGGAGACGCTCACCGGAGAGCGCGGGCAGGCAAGCCAGCGCCGCCAGCACCAGGCGGCCGAGGAGCGGCAGGCGGGGCCTCCGGGCCGCGGGAGCCATCCGGACGAAGCAAGGCGGCTCGGCTTCTTCGGCTGGTGGCGGAGCGAGCGAGCGGCGTCCCGTGCAATGTCCGCAGCCGGCACGGCGTGCCTCCCTCGGCCGAACTGCTCCTTCCGCGGCGGCACCGACGCGCCTCCAGCCAGACGCGGCGGGCGCTCATTGGAGCGGCCACCCGCCGCACAACGCCATTGGTCCACGTCCCCGGCGTCGCGCTTCTCCGGCGCCCGCCCCCGCCGGAGGAGCATCCGGGGGCGTGGCCCCACCGAACTCCAGTCCCCAAGAGCCCCCGCGGCGGGGCGGCGGGCCTGCGGAAGTGGCTCTCCGTCACCCGCCCGCCGCGAGCCCCTCCCGCTCCGCCAAGATGGCGGCCTACCTGCAGTGGCGGCGCTTCGCTTTCTTCGACCGGGAGCCGCTGACGGACTCCGACGGGACCCCGGTGCTGCTCCCCCCGGGCATCGTGGTCTGCGACTCGGGCAGGGGCAGCCTGGTCTTCGGGGATATCCTTCCGAGGCTGGGGCCGGCGGGGCGGGCGTCCGGGGGGGCGGGCGGCGGCGGGCGGTCTTCGGTGGACGGCCCTTAACCGCAGCCCACATTGGGAAGGGCACATCTGGTTCCTGCCGCGCTCGCTGGAGCTGAGCAGCTTCCAGGCCTACAAGCTGCGGGTGACGCACCTCTTCCAGCTGAAGCAGCACAGCATCCTGGTGTCGGTGGGCGAGGAGGAGGCCGGGCTCAACCCCCTGGTGAGCTGCGGGAGCGGAGCGGGCCCGCTTTGCCTGCCGGGGGCTTGAAACCTGCTTTTCTGCCGCTGGTTGCCTGTACGGTCTCTGCGCTGGTCAAGAGATTTCCCTCCTGAGCGGCTTCTCCATTGACTTCCACACCAACCTGTTCACCTCTTCCGCCTCTCAAATCCTCTAGGCCAGTGGTTCCCAACCTTTTTTTTCGCCCCGCACCCCCTAAAGAAATTTCACTCGAACCTCGCACCCCCTGAAATAAAAAATAAATAAAAATGCCAACATATAGCCAATATTCTATTATTTACCTGGACTTTTCTCGCCTGCCCTGGAATATTGTCTCGCACCCCAGGTTGGGAACCCCTGCTCTGGGCGCTTTGTCCTAACGTCTGCATAAGCAAGGCCTGTTACCTTGCTTCCAGACAGAGTAATAAGACTAGTCAATCTAAATAACAAGGATACAGTTAAAAGGGGGTATTATAAAGGCAAAATATGCAAGCCAAAAAACCTCTTGCAAAACTTACCAGTCCAAACATGCCTATATTGGTTGCAAGACAGTTTCCCTAACAATCTCTTTGTGATTATTTGTAGGTCAAAGTCTGGAATTTAGAGAAACGTGATGGTGGGACACCTCAGTGCACCAGGATTTTCCCTGCAATACCAGGCAATAAACTCACGCTGGTATCTTGTCTCACCGTCCATGAAAATCTCAACTTCATGGCTATTGGTAACTAGAGTTGCTATTGTGTATTCCAAACATTAATCGGAAAGTGAACTGGGAAGAGAAATGCTTGGAGAGGCGGTCAGCAAAAATATTTTTAAAACCTGAAGTAGGTTACGATTAAAAGTTGTACATGGGGCCCCTGGAGAAAATCCCTAAATGTCAGCTGGTGCGAAATGCAGCACTGTGGGCTACCTTGGTTGCCAGTTTGTTCCCAGATCTAATTCTGGTGTTAGGTGGTATGGAACAGGTCACCCGAAGGTCTGTTCAGCTTAGAAGAAGAAGAAGAAGAAGAAGAAGAAGAAGTGGAGAATGTTTTTGGTCTCTGGATCTTGTTTCCTTCTTTCTCATAGGCTTCGTGGATGGGAGTGTGGTGCTCATCAAGGGGGACATTACAAGGGATCGGCATAGCAAAACTCAAGTCCTCCACGAAGGAGGCCATCCAGTTACTGGGCTTGTGTTTCGCCAATCAAGCAAAACCACTCATCTGTTTGTGGCTACCACTGAGAAAATCCAGGTAGGCTGTTGGTCTGTGGGGCAGTGAGGATGTGGTAGAACTCGGTTTTGACCCACACTTCGCCTGATTGGGTTTCTGTTCTCACAGCTGCCCTTTTCCTTGGCTTTGCAGTGTTACACACTCTCGGTGAAGGATTGTCCACTGCTAGAACTGGACATGCGTGGCTGTGGACTGCGCTGCTCCACGCTCAGTGATCCCTCCCAGGACCTCCAGTTTATAGTGGCAGGAGATGAATGTGTCTATCTGTACCAGCCAGATGAGCGTGGACCTTGCTTTGCCTTTGAGGGTCAAAAACTGATTGTCCACTGGTATCGAGGCTATCTGGTCATTGTGTCCAAGGATTGGAAAGTATCTCCCAAGTAAGTTTGTTTTATTGCTGGGATGGTGCTTTGGACATTTAGAGGAAATACCTCTAAATACAGGTATGTTTCTGAACATCCCTAACCGTGGTAGTAATTTGTATTTCTAATGAGCATTCTTGTCTTTCATTTCCCCATAAGTAGCTGAACAGTTTCAGCTTTGCTTTCCAGATTGGGTTGGAACTCCTCATTTTCTGAGAGTTGTAAATAATTGATGGAGAATATAATTGCCACTAGGTACCTAAAAGCACATGACTGATTTTGGAATCACACGTAGTTTTCAGTAAGATTTGAGGTATCAGTTTATGAAATCATTCGATGCCTGTATCTACGCTTAGAAAGAAGTCTAGGACAGCCCACTGTCTCTGCTAAATGCATCCCTCCCTTTTTCAAAGAGTGCAGCCCCTTGTTGGCATTACTCTTTGGAAGCCTGCAGGCTGGTGTCCTACGGCTAAGGCTGCAGCTAGAGCTTCTGCGAACTCTTCCTTTATTGAGGACACACGAATGAGTTCACGGTCTCTTTATTTTAGGTCCTTTTTGGTTGAATAGCTTAAACGTAACTTGCAAGCTTGTACTTTGCTCGTTCCTCCTCTCTGCTCCAGATCTGAGTTTACTGGAGGAGATGCACAAAACTCTGACAAGCAGATCCTGAATATTTATGACCTGGGCAACAAGTTCATTGCCTACAGCTCTGTGTTTGATGATGTGGTGGATGTCCTGGCCGAGTGGGGATGCCTCTACGTGTTGACGAGGGACGGGAAACTCCATGTGCTTCAGGAGAAGGATACGCAGACCAAACTGGAGGCAAGAGGCCCTTCTCTGTTTTTTCTGGAGCTCCCTGGGGCAGAGATAGAGGGGCTCTTGGCCAAAGAGCTGCAGCACATGCCCTGAGCTGGTCCTGGGGTGCGGGTGGGGGTGAGGGCAGATGCCTTAAGGCCTGCCCGTTGCAGAATTCTTTCCACACCAGCATCCATACCAGGCTCTGAGGAGATGGGTGGACTTGACAGTCTAAATATCCTCACTGCCTCTTGCAAACCACTGGATAGAGCAGCTTTGGCTGGACCCTCTGGAACCTTTCTTGAACCACCGCTTCCTTTGATAACAGATGCTCTTCAAGAAGAACCTTTTTGAAATGGCCATCAACCTGGCTAAAAGTCACCACCTGGACAGCGATGGGTTGTCTGAGATCTTTCGCCAATACGGAGATCACCTGTACAATAAGGGCAACCATGATGGTGCTATTCAGCAGTACCTCCGGTAGGTAACATTAAAGAATTAGGGCGCAGATTTGGCCTCCCTCGTTCATGGGGCTTGGCACTGATGACGAGGCTTCTCCTCTGGGCTCGCAAAGCTGGGTTAGCATCCAACTAATTTGCATCTTCTCGCGTGCTTCTCTTGCTGTCATGCTAAGAGGGGGCTTCCCAAGATGGCAAATCTGTCCAAATGGAACTGCAAATTGATGTTTCCAGTGAGCATCAATATCCCGAGAAAGGTCAGAAAGGAAGCTGGATGGGTCCTGGCTAGTGAGAGAATTGTTTCCTCCTCCTCAAATAAATGGAACAACTGCCTAGGATGTAAACAGATATGGAGTTTGGAGATCTACAGCGTGCAGCAACTCAGGGTGGGAGTATCTTTAGCAGGGTGGTTTTGAAAGAGGATTTGGACTGATGAAACCCTTCGATTGATGCCTCCTCTGCAGTGGCGCCAATGGTGGTAGCTGCTCTCTTGTTTGTGACCTGCATCGTTTTAATCCCAGCAACTGGGACTTGTGCTCTTTTCTTAGCACGATTGGGAAGCTGGAGCCATCTTACGTCATCCGCAAGTTCCTGGACGCTCAGCGGATACACAACCTGACCGCCTACTTGCAGATGCTCCACTTGCAGTCACTGGCCAACGCGGACCACACCACCCTGCTGCTGAACTGCTATACCAAGCTGAAGGACATCTCCAAGCTGGAGGAGTTCATCAAGGTGACGGGACAAAGGCACCTCAGGGCTTTTCCTCCTAGATACCAAATGGCCCTTCTCTATGAACCGCTTCCATGGATGGAAGTCCCTGGCTTTTAACCGTGTCTCTTCTGGCAGGGCGGGGTTATGCTAATCAGCTTTCAAGTAGACTGGTTGTGCGGATGTCCTTTACGTATAGGTTGTGTGGATGTCCTTTCCTATATACTATAGGTATATAGTAATCTCTGTTCTCTGCCTGAGTTGCCCGATGGGCTAGAGTTTTCTTGGAGCAAATATAGAAAACCTTGTGACACACGATGCATCCTCCCTCCGGTGGGGATGTCACTTCAGCCCTGGAATGAGGAAACTTTAGAAAACCTGCCTTTGCAAGGGAAGAAACAACAGTCATGCTCTCCCTTCCACTGATGGGATGACTAAAGTAGAGTTTCTCTTTAGGGATTGGTTCTTTCTGGGTCTAACTTTGAAGAGGGTGAGCAGGGAAGGCCTTCCTCCTGCTTTGCAGTCCAGACATTTGGGCAGAAGGCTTAGCTGGCTCAGTCGGGAGCTTCCAGGGTTGACTCCGTTCCCTTTGGGCCTTCTGTAGACCAGCGAGAGCGAGGTGCACTTTGACGTGGAGACAGCTATCAAGGTGCTTCGCCAGGCAGGCTGTTACTCACATGCTGTGTACCTGGCTGAGAAGCACAAGCACCACGAGTGGTACCTGAAGATCCAGCTGGAAGATATCAAGGTGAGGCCAGCCTGATTGCTTCTGGACTGCTTGTTTGGCAGCCAAGGATGTTGGATGCTAGGAAGGAGGGGAAATTGGGACCGTAAGCCTGGTCTGAAATGGCTCAGTCTGGAGAAGAATCACCCCCCGCTTAAAGGCAAACACAGGCAAAACTCTCCTCACGGCCTGCTTCCTGGGTCTTGCAGAACTTCCAGGAGGCCCTGCGTTATATCGGCAAGCTGCCCTTCGAGCAGGCTGAGAGTAACATGAAGCGCTACGGCAAGATCCTCATGCATCACACCCCCAACGAAGCCACTGAGCTGCTGAAGATCCTCTGCACAGACTATCGGCCGACGAAAGAGCCAGAGGGGTCCGGCCTGCTGCCAGAGCGGAGGGTATGGGCTGAGGCCTGGCGGAGGGAGAAGGGGCAGGCGGGAGCGGGGTTTGGGGCACAATACCATTTGCCCGAGGAATGGGGCCGAAGGGCTTTCAAACAAGAGGAAGCCAGATCCAGGGGTCGGGGGTGCTAATTGGTGTGTAGTCTTGGCCAAGTGGGAAGCCACAGGCAGGGCACAAAAATCTCAGCGTCGTCTTTGTGCTGTTGCCCAGTAGAGCAACTCTATTCTCCCCCCACTGGTTTCATTGCAAGGCGTCCTGGGGTTCCCACTGTGCCCAACGGATGCTCCCTGTGGGGAAATGTTGGTGTTCTGGGGGGCAGGTGGATCTGCTTGGGGGTCTAGGAGAAAGTTTGCTCTCTGGCTTTCACCCCCTTCCGCCCCCCCCCCCCCCCCCCACTGTTTCATGATGCAGGCAAATCCCGATGAATTCATCCCCATCTTTGCTAACAACCCCAGGGAGCTGAAGACTTTCTTAGAACACATGTCCGAGGTTCAGCCGGACTCTAAGCAGGGGGTATACGACACCCTGCTGGAGCTCCGTCTCCAGAACTGGGCCCACGAACAAGATCCGCAGGTACGTCCTGGGCGCGTGGGTCGTCCTGGGAGGCTCTGGAGTGAGTCCGACGTCCGCGAATCCCCTCTTGGGTCCTCCCAGATCAAGGAGAAGCTGCACAATGAGACCATCCTCCTGCTGAAGAGCGGGAAGTTCCAGGACGTCTTCGATAAGGCCTTGGTCTTGTGCCAGATGCATAACTTCAAGGATGGCATCCTCTACCTCTACGAGCAGCACAAACTGTGAGTGCAGAGGAGCGAGCCCTTCCTTCCTTGGGGAGGGGGAGGAGAACGGCTGGCCAGTTTCAAGCCCTTGGCTGCCCCCTCTGCCTTCCCCCCCCAGGTTCCAGCAGATCATGCACTACCACATGCAGAACGGGCAGTACCGGAAGGTGGTGGAGGTGTGTGAGCTGTATGGGGAACAAGAGGCCTGTCTTTGGGAACAAGCGCTCGGCTACTTCGCCCACAAGGAGGAGGACTGCAAGGAGTACATGGCGGCTGTGCTTGCACGCATCGAAGCCAAAAATCTCATGCCGCCTTTGCTGGGTGAGGCCAGGCTCTGCCTTTGGGGTGAGGGTGCCGACAGCAGGCAGTGAGCTGAGCCAAAGAAAACGCCCCTTACCCGTGCCCACCCTGGGAAGTTGGTGACGGGGAGCCGACTTCTGCTCCGCAGATATTAAGGGCTCGCCATACAGACGGGTTAGATGTGGGCGGAAAATATTCACAGCACAATTGGTCCTACTGACAACAGTCATCAAGCTTTGATTTGTGGTCATCTTGGAGGATTCTCACAACTGCGCAGCTCTGCCCTTGTACGGCAGCCCCTGCTCCCCCTCTCCTTCCACACTGGGCAGTGCCCTCGAGGGAGAGAGGCTCAAACCCTGAGACCCACTGCCAGCCTGTGGACGAGGGAGTTGGAAAGTACCTTGTTGAATTTTAAGATAAAAAAAGCTGGGTATTTTAGTAATGTCCCCCAGTTGATAAACAATACTCCTTTCTTCCAAAAGGCGGGAACCCCTGATATTGGGGTGCGGGTGGGGTTTATATGCTGTGTTTTATGCTATTCTTGTTGCTTCAAAGTGATCTTGACAATACAGGAACACCTAAGTTTGTTTTGGGGTGGGTTGCTGAAATGGCTGAGACGTAGCCTGGCAGCAACACACACAATAGCGACAGGACTTAGACTTTGACGTATTGCCACACAGGGTTCCACAGCCCTCTCGGGGGGGGGGGGGGTTACAATACATGCGTTATTTTCGTACTACTGCCAACAGTCTGGGTCCTCGTTTCACTGACCTTAAAAGGATGGAAGGCCGAGTCAACCTTCCGCTCGTCAGGATCAAACTCCAGGCTGTGGGCAGAGCTTGCCTGCAGTGCTGCAGTTTTTCCCACCAGGGCTCCTACTTTCTGGCTCCGATCCATATTGTGGACGAAGCGGTGCAGGATTGCAGCTGCACCCCTGTTCTCTCCTGTCCTGATGGGTGTCTCTTTTCTAGTTGTTCAGACTTTGGCTCACAATTCCACGGCCACCCTGTCCGTCATTAAGGATTACCTCATCAGCAAACTGCAGAGACAAAGTTGCCAGATAGAGCAGGATGAACAAAAGATCCAGAAATACCGGGAGGAGACCAAGCGGATCCGCCAGGATATTGAGGAACTGAAAACAAGGTAGCTACGGAACCTGCTGCTAGATCTGTCTCAGAGCCTGCAGATTCCATCCCGGATCCTGTCCATTGCCCTGTCCTGCGGCTGAGGTAGTGCAGAAACGGAAGGGCTTCATTTCCTGCGAAAAAAGGTTGAGGGGGCATTCCTGTTTCCCTGGGAGGCTGCTGCTTTTGACTGCTGGGTGGGAGTGCGGGCAGTGTCCTCGACCCAGGCTTAGAGGCCAAAGGGAAGTGGGGGCTGTAGCAGCGTTTGGGGGAGGTGCCAAGGGGGCGCCCAGGTTTGATGACTTCTTTCTTCTAGCCCCAAAATATTCCAGAAGACAAAGTGCAGCATCTGCACCAGTGCTTTGGAGCTGCCTTCGGTGCACTTCCTGTGCGGCCATTCCTTCCATCAGCACTGCTTCGAGAGCTACTCGGAGAGTGGGTCGGAGTGCCCCACGTGCCTCCCTGAGAACCGGAAGGTCATGGACATGATCCGTGCCCAAGAGCAGAAACGGGACCTGCACGACCAGTTCCAGCACCAGGTGGGTTCTTGGGCGGGCTCTGGTGCTTGTAAACAGGCTCTGCCAATTCTTGTCCCTGCCAAACGTCCTTTTCTTTTGGCCTCCGGCAGCTGAAATATTCCAACGACAGCTTCTCTGTGGTTGCCGATTATTTTGGCCGTGGTGTTTTCAACAAACTCACCCTCATCACAGACCTCCCTCCGAGCAAATCGGCCGCAGCGCTCGATGCAAGCTTGCAGCGGGACCTGCTTGTCAAGACAAAGAGGAGCACCTAGAAATCCTTTCGTCCAGATGTGTTCACTTTGTGGCGCTGGGAACTGGCAAAGACCGCGTCCCATTCAGCACAAACGCCATGCCAGACAGAGGCGGGCAGGGGAGAAAGGGGACTTGGCTGGAGGGACATTAAGCCTGCTTGTGTACCTCAGCTCCTCCTCCTCCCCTGGACAGGCACCAGGCAGGGCTGGGCAGGGAGGGGTGGGTGGCTCTCTGGCAAAAACAGCCCGGCTCGGGCTTTGGCTCTGGCTGGGCCCTGCCTGGCTCTCAAGCGGGGCCTGAGCAGAACCTCCAGCCAGGCCTGCCAGAGCCTCAATGGCAGCCTCAACTGCGGGAGGAAAAACTGGTGTGACTGCATGTCTGACTAAAGGGAGCTGCTGTCACCTGCCTCCGGGCCTTCTTTCACGAGGGCCAGGCGAGGTGAGGGCCCCGGGGCTGGAGGCTCACCAACTACGGGGCAGCTTGGGGGTGGTTGGGAAATCTCACTGGGGCAAAGGTGCGCTTTCCAAGTGACCACCCATCTGCTCTCACGTTCAGCTTATGGTCACTCACTCACATGCTCTCAGCCCTGGGAAATTGCCACTCTTGAATCACCAACGGAGACCCAGTTAATTTAAAATAACAGCAAACTTTACTGATTGCAATGTATATCTCTGTGTACACACGCACCCACGGGCGGGCAGGACCCGTTTTATCTCCCAAGGTCCTTGCTTTGTTGGTGGGGCTCAGGGAGGGGCTTCCCGTGTGCTCAGGCCCAACTTCCTTTGTCTGATTTAGGGGACGTTTTTTCTTTTGGTTCTTTAACAACTTGGCTCCTCCTTACCTGCTTTCCCTGCGTGAGCTTTTCCTGGCTTTTGTTCACCTTGCTTATGTGCTTGCTTTACCTTGCTTTAGGTATGGTGGCTTAGACCTAGTCTCCAGTTAACCAAGGAGATGCCACAAAATGGGGCAGTAGATTTGTTGTCTAGTTGGCGTGGAGATACAATGTTTTAAGAAAACACATTGAGATTAATACAAAGGCAAATAATAGAAAAATTTGAACGCTTTTCCTTCCCCGGCATCCCAAATCGGGTAACCGAGATATAATCCGGTCAATCCCTCCAGATTCTGGGAGCGGAATGGGACAACTCGCTGTTGCCAAGGCACCACTGGACAACTCTCATGGGACAATTTAACAATTTAATTTAAAATAATTTTAAAAATATTTTTTCATTCACATTTCATTTTGTCTCCCCTTTTGCATCCTTTGTTTAATTATTCTACTCCAACATTACTTTGATGTTAGTGTAACTTGTCCATGGCAAGTTGGCCACACAGCGAGTTGTATTAGATGCACTTGAAACTATCCTACAAACACCGTGTTTATAGCTGCCACAGGACTTCTACTCCCAGGAGATTTTGGAGAGGTGGTGGGTCTTCCTGCCTGGGTCCCGAGAAACAAAAGAGGGCGCAGGGCTAGCCTTGGTTTGTGTCCAGGTATATTGTTGAGCAATGTCTAGTTCTGCCTCCTCTGTGGCAAAGGAGTCCCAAACTTCAAATCTCTGGTAGAAACAGCAGCACGGGAGGTATTGTGGTTCCCCATCCTCCCACCAGAAGCCTTGCCAGCAAACCAGATGTCCTTGCCTGTGAGAAGCTGAAAGGGACCTGAGGTTTTGGATAGTCCAGCCCAAAGCAAAAATTCATGCTGTGTGTTTTGTTCACGGATGCAGGCAGGAAACAGATAAATTCTCTAGCCTGTAAATTCTCCCATCTTGATGTCAGAATGAGCTCAAGGGGGCTATTAAAGGGATTTACTGGTTTATTTACAGTACCTTTCTTTTCTAAATTGCAAATGATCTCTGAGCAGCCTTCGGTTTGGGCTATTTCGGGGGCTGCAAAGAAGCAGCAGACGCGGGCCTGGTTAACCTCTTGCACCAAAGGGAAGTTTAACGCAAGGGCTGTCACCACTTCGGTCTCCCAGAGGGCTTGTCTTTAGGGCCCTTCAAAGGCCTCCCCAGGTACCGCCTGGCAGCGGCGGCCTTGATCTGCCACAGGCGTTGGCCTCGGAAGCCTCCGGTACCCCTCACCGCCCCCCCCCCACCATAGATTCTATACAGCCAGGACGGAGACTTCGTGGATCTGTTTGACTTGTCAATCGCTTACAGAATAATAGAAGTAGAAACAGGAGTAAGGCGACTGAAATCCGGTCCGAGGAAATGGGAACAACGGGACAGGGACGGGAGGCGCTTATGGCCCTCCTGTCCAGCCGCCCCTTCGAGCGAGCCCCTCTGCGGCCCTTCCCTCGCCGCCTTTCGCTGCCTTCCCCCCGCCCCCCACCAACCCGGGGACAGTGCAGCACGGCCGGCGCCCCCTCGAAAGCCGCTCGCCCCCATTCTTGGCCCCGCCCGTCCCCGAGGGCTTCAAGCCGCTCCCGCGGGAAGGGGCGGCGGCCGGCAGACAGGCAGGGCCGGCGCGATCGGGGTGTCTCCCGGCAGGAGCGCCGCGGTCTCCGCGCTCGCCCCGTGTCCCCCCGTTGAAGGCCCCGGGAACCGGAAGGGGCGGCTTCGAAAGCCCCGGAAGTGACGCGAGGCGGAGAGGCCGTCCGGCGTGGTGATCCCGATCGCGGCTCTCGTTCCGCCGGACACCGCCGCTCTTTCGCCGGCATGAGCGGCTCGCCGCCGCCTCCGCCTTCCCCGGCCCCGGTGAGCTCCGCCCGGCGCCGCCCCTCCGCGCGCCGGCCCCCTTTCCCCGCGCCTCTCCGCCCCGCCCCGCCCCGCGCCCCTCCCTCCCCGCTTATCGCGGACGGCAGAGCAGGGCGGCCCCGGCGGGCGAGTCTGGCAGGGAAGCAACCGCCCGGCCTCGGGCTGACAAGCGCTGGAGCCCGCCGGAGATGGCCGCGGAGGTGAGGGGCTCGCGGGGCCAGCGGGGGTCCCCGGGCGGAGAGGCTTTTGCTCCCGGCGGGAGCTGCCCCTCCCGGCCCCGCTTTGCGCCTAACGGGAGACCCTTCTTTGCAGAACAAAAACGCCCCGAGGAGCCGGAGCATCCGCGTGGGCACCCGCAAGAGCCAGGTGAGGGGGGCGGCGGAGGCCCCGCAGGTCGCACGGTTCACGGGCCTCGATCGCGCCGCGCGTTTCTGGCCTGAGCGGCTGAGTTCTCTTCCGCCGCAATCCGCACAAACTCCCCGCCGTTTATTGCACATCGGGCAAGATGAAAACGGAGGCCGGCGGGGCATTCCAGTGGAAGGACTGGGGGGCTACCAAGGGCGGCGGGAGGGAGGGAGGGGGCGATTGTGACTCCGCTGTTCCCCAACAAGCGCAAAAGGTGCCGGGGGGGGGGGGGGGGGGGGGGGGCTGCTGCCCAAGTCAACCCCTGAGCAGTTGCACCGGGCTCTTTGAACTGCAGCTGCACTTCTGGGCTGCAGGGTGATGGGGCAACTCTTGCACCCACCGCAACTTCTTCCATAGGAGCAGATTCCAGTATCCACCTCTGGGAGCAGTGCATGAAGCGCCCGCTGTTTCTCACCCTCTAGCACTGAGGACGTTATCTATTTGAGTCATGAAATTTATGCAAGAAAACAATCCCAGAGACCACCAAGGACCCCTCATTTAAAATCTGAGCTACAAATACTCCCCTTTATTGGTACAAAGCCGATAAGGCATCATTGGCCTCTGCTTGGCAGGCAGGGTTAACTAAGGTTTTGGCGGTTGGACCATCCTGAGTAACTTGAGCAAGTCTTGCTCTCTTTTCTTTAGCGTGGGAAGAAGCACAACCCTTTTTGGCTCAGAGCTGGGGTGGAAAACGAGGAAGGCTTAGGAGACTTGTGCAATGTGACAGTAACATGAAAGCAGCTTCTCTAGCCACAAAATCCAGCCCAGGCAGAGGCGTTGACAGATCCACCCGAAGATCCAGGATTGGGAAAGACTGATAATGCTTTGCCCTTGTAACCTAGAGCTAATCTCCACATGCCAGCTTCTGACGAGAATGGGGAGGAGCCTAGCAGAGAGGAAGGGCTGGGGGGATGGAGAAAGGCCCAGGCACTGCCCTTCCCTCTTGCCCACCAGCACAGCCAGCGTCTGCCCCCTCCAGGCTCATCTGGAGTTCAGGTCAGGATGTCCCAGCACTGTTTTCCCACAGTGGTGCTTGCGGTCAGAATACAATGTTTGTGCACATAGGCCCCTCCAGAAGCCATTTCCGCAGGTAGAAGAGCAGGGCAGGATTGTCCTCTTGCCTGGGCCCTTACCTACACAGCAGAAAGCTTGAGCTCTGCTGATTGCGTCTCCTTCCTTTGTGTCGGGAGGCAGGCAACTGTTGTGTTTCTGATCTGCTGGGGCCCTTTCTGAGTGCCTTCCTTTCCCAACGTTGCAGCTGGCTCGTATCCAGACTGACAGTGTAGTGGAGATGCTCCAGGTGCAGCACCCTCACCTCCGCTTCGAGATAGGTGAGCATCTGGGGAAGGGGTGGAGGCAGCCCAAGCAGGTATATTAGGAGCAAGATGGGAGGACGAGGGCATATTTACCCTTCAATTTTTCTCCTTCTCTAATAGTTGCCATGTCAACCACTGGAGACAGGATTCTGGACACAGCCTTATCCAAGGTTTGTTCCTTTGCTTATGTGATGTTTTCCTCCTGTCTGGCTGGGCTATGTGGCAACAGAGCCCTGTGGGTTAGAGACAGAGTGCCTTGCAAGACTGGAAGGGTTCCCATCCTGTTTCTCTTCCCCAACAGATTGGAGAGAAAAGCCTTTTCACAAAAGAGCTGGAAAACGCACTGGAAAGAGATGAGTAAGTGCTCTTTTTCTGAAGGTTTGTGGAACACTGGTAGTCCTCTTGAGACGGGCCCAAAGCCCGACTCCCCATGGGAGCAGGAGCAGCCCAGTTTCATGTGAGTCCCCTGGAAAAGGGCTGCACCGTACTTGCTGGCTATTCTGCTTGCCGGGGGAGACGCCAGCACTCCCCTGGCATGATGCAGATTGCCCAGGGCTAGCCTGGCATGTTTCCTCCTTTCTTTTAGGGTGGACTTGGTGGTTCACTCCCTGAAAGACCTGCCCACTTCCCTGCCACCAGGCTTCACCATTGGCGCCATCTGCAAGTGAGTTTGAGCGCTTCTCTGTTTCCTGCCTGGTAGAGCCAAGCAGCGGCCTTGCCCACCTGCCCGCCTTCCTTTTGCCTGTGAACTCACCCAAAGCAGGGGGGCCTGGGGAGTGTTGTGGGGGCCGAGGGGGCCTTGAGCGTCTTTCTTTGCTTGGCCTGCGGGATCTTCTCTCCCTTTGCTGATGGTTCCTTGGGATGTTTCTGAAGCAGAGTCTTCCCGCGTCCTTTTCAGGAGAGAAAACCCCCACGATGCAGTTGTCTTTCACCCCAAACATGCTGGCAAAACCCTCAGTAGCCTCCCTGAGAAGAGGTGAGGAGAGCTGGCTGGAGCAGGGCCTGGGCCTTGCCCCCCGCCCCCCGGAATCCATGCTCTAGCAGGCTATGCGGGTGGGGGGGCGGGGGGGTATCCGCCCTGCTTCTTGGGAAGCAGAAGATAGAAGAACAGGACCTGGGCAGCCTCCCGAGCCAACTGCTGCTCAAGCAAGAGACGCGTTCGAGGCAGGCGGCCGTCCGGTCTCTTTTTCAACGGTTGTAGCTTGCAAGAGGAGGAGGGGAGGCCCCGGGAGACCTTGGTGGGATGCAGGAGGGTTGAGTAGCCTCACTCATTTCACTTTGGGTTTTCCTGCAGTGTAATTGGGACCAGCTCACTTCGCCGTGCAGCTCAGCTGAAAAGGAAATTCCCTCGGCTGCAGTTCAAGGATATTGTATCCTTTCATGATTCAGGAGGGCCCAAGTTCACCTTTATTCACCTGGTTTCTCTGACCACCCAAACTTGGCAAAGCACCTCTGGATGGCTTGCAATTAGGCAGAGGTCGAAAATTGCCTGCCCACAATGGGAAACAGCTGCTGGAACAAGAGCGGCCTTGCTTAGCTCCCTGCTCTGGCCTTTCTCAGAAAAACCGTAACAGCATCAGAGATACACTGGTCCAACTCATAACAAAAGTCAGTCTGAATCACCCCGCTTATCCTGAAATAATTGAGATAACTGCTGGTTCTGACTCCTCTTGGCAAGGCCGGTCCTTCTTCAGGGCACCGTGTTTCTCCTCAGAGGGGCTGGGTGGGCCTGGAGTTCCCCCTCCCTCAGAGGCTTAGAAGGATCAGCTACCCCCACCCAAATCCGGGATTGCAGTGCCCTCAGCAGAAGCCTCCTGGTTTTGCTTAGCCTTCCCCCAGAGGGGCAACCTGAACACCCGCCTGAAGAAGCTGGATGACAAGGAGGACTTCAGCGCCCTGGTTCTGGCGGCAGCTGGGCTCAGGCGCATGGGCTGGGGGAACCGCATTGGCCAGGTGAGGGGCAGGGGATTGGCCTTTTGCGGCTGAGTTTGGCTCCTCAGAGAGGCTGGGTGGGCCTGGAGTTCTCCCTCCCTCAGAGGCCCAACCGGGGGGGAGGGGTGTGTGTGTTAGTATTCTATTTTAAGGTATGGGGGCCTGTTGCTGACTCTCACTTCCCTCTAGATTCTGAGCCCCGTGGACTGCTTGTATGCGGTTGGGCAGGTGAGTGATGGGGCCACCTCTTACCTGGCCATTTGCACCTCCCGGGTTTCCTTTTGGCAGTGGAGCTGCAGATCACTCTACCCCAGCCTCTGGAGAAGCCCTAGATCTTGGGCGTCTAGTGTTCCGGGCCTTTCTGCCCTTCCCGCCCTCCCCCACAGCTGACATGACTGTGCCCCTCCCAAAGGGACCTTTTTGCTTAGGGATGAAAAAACCCCAAGAAAAGGACTGTGATGCAGGTCCTGAGGAAGGAGAAGGCACTATTGGGGGGCCCTGAATCACAGGAAAGGAAAAGCACCCCCCCCCTCCTTTACTGCCCTCTCCCCTCCAGGGCGCCTTGGCTGTGGAGGTGCGGGCCAAAGACCAGGAGATCCTAGAGATGGTCTCTGTTTTGCACGATGAGGAGACCGTCCTGCGCTGCATCACTGAGCGAGCCTTCATGAAGCACCTGGTAGGTCTCCCAGGCTGAGCTGGCCAGGCCCTCGGAAGCGTGGCCCAACAGCCCGGCCTTTAAGCCCATGCTTTCCTCCGCAGGAAGGAGGCTGCAGCGTGCCGGTGGCCGTGAGCACCCTGCTGAAGGATGGCCAGGTAAAGGCAACTGGCTGCTTCCCCCCACTCCCCCCCCCCTCCGCTTCCTGGCTTCTGCTGAAAGGCAGACCCCAACAGAGCGCGGGGGGGGGGGGGGGAGGTTGAGAGAGATCACCTTTCTTAAAGGAATAAAATGGGGGGGGGGCACCCACAAATGGCAGCATTTCCCTCCATTCTGCTTGCTGGTGAGTTTCAGCATCCCTCTGTTCCCCTCTCCAGCTGTACTTGACTGGAGCAGTTTATAGCCTTGATGGTTCCGACAGCTTGCAAGAGACCATGCAAAGAAATGTGAATTTTTCCCTAGAGGTAACAGTCTCGGTTGCTTTCAGGGGAAGAGATGGAACTCTCCTTTATGAGGAGGGGGGGGGGGTTCAGGCTGGTCACCTAGGATATTAGCACTTGACTGCAGGGTGCAAATTGGGGCATGTTCTGGGGGTGCTTCCCTATTGGTAGCTGTCAGTTCAACTGGAATCCCAGCATGTCATGGCCCTGGCCTTCAGGTGGGCTGTGGCCTCTACCCCAAAACCTTGCCCATGGGTTGCCCTTCCTTTTCAGAATGAAGACGGTCCAGATGACAACCTCCAACATGTTGGCATCACAGCAAGGAGCATCCCTCGCCTTGCTCAGGAGGCTGCTGAGAGGTTGGGGCAGGAGGTGGCTGATCTGCTGCTGAGCAAAGGGGCCAAACAGATCCTCAATGTGGCGAGGCAGCTCAGCAGTGCATGATGGGCACCACCTCCTGGGAGAGCTATGACACCGGCCAGTTGTCCATCCCCCCTGCAAGAGAGGGGAGGAGCCAGGGATGACCTGCCACTGCACTGCCGGGGAGCAAAGAACTTCCGTTGGTGGGAAACCACATGCAGGGTCTGGGCCGGAACTGCCCGTATCTGCACAGCCGCCAAGAGACCCCCTGGGCTGCCCAGGCAGAGGCGGTGAAGTTGGGACTCTGCTGGGACTCGGAACAAGTCTCACTAAAACCGATTAAAGAGATAGAACACGTGACAGGCCCGAGTCTGGCGCTTCTTCTCCCGCCGAGCCTCCCCCCGATTCTTGCACGCCAAAGGGCCCGCTTCCGGGGCGGGGGGTGGACGCCGCGGGCCCCGCGGCCGGGCCTCAGAGCTCCCCTCCCCCAGCTTGGCCGCGCGGAGGGCAGCACAGACGAGCGGACAAGCGCGCGCTTTCAACGTCCTTTTATTGGGCGCCAGCAGCCCCTTCCCGCCGCCCAGCCCGAGTCCAAGCACGTGGCGGCCGCAGGGGGCCCGCTCCTCTGGCTCGTCCATCTCCGCAGCCTCGGCTCGGTCTCCGGTTGCGCCGCCTCCTCCTCCTCCTCCTCCTCCTCCTGCGCGCCTAGTACTCCTGCGAGGCCTGCTGGGCCCCCTTCTTCCGTCCCGCCGTGCCGCCGCCGCCCTGAGCAGCGGCCTTCCGGGGCAGGAGCACGGCGGGGATGTTGGGCAGGACGCCGCCCTGCGCGATGGTGACGCGGCCCAAGAGGCGGCTGAGCTCCTCGTCGTTGCGCACCGCCAGCTGGACGTGCCGCGGGACGATGCGCGTCTTGCGGTTGTCGCGCGCCGCGTTGCCCGCCAGCTCCAAGATCTCGGCCGTCAGGTACTCCAGCACCGCCGCCAGGTAAACGGGAGCGCCGGCTCCGACCCGCTCCGCATAGTGTCCCCGGCGCAGCAGCCGATGGACGCGGCCCACCGGGAATTGCAGTCCAGCGCGCGACGAGCGCGACTTCGCCTTGGCCCGTGCCTTGCCGGCTCCCGCCTTGCCGCGACCCGACATCGCCAGAGCCCAAAGAAGCGAAGAACCGCCGCATCCGGCGCGCCGCCTTTATATGGCCCGCGCTTCTCCACTGGCCCGCCCTCTGCGGCCGCCGATTGGACTCCGTGGCCCGCGGTTCTGCTCATTGGCTGGCGCCGAGGCCACTGAGCAAGCAGCGCGCGCGTTTCAAAGGTTGGTGAAGAGCCTCCTCGAAAGAGTCCTTCCCCGAAGGACTCCTCCTCCAGCGGGAGCGATAGAACAAAGTATCCCAGGCTCGGAAGGGCCCTCAGAGGCCTTCTATCTCGTCCAACCCTCTGTTCAAGGCAGGAAACCTCATACCACCCCTGCCCAATGGTTGCCCAGTCTATTTTTGAAAACCTCCAGGGACTGAGCACCCACAACTATGTGGGGGGCAAGCTAATCCACGGATTGTTCTGTCAGAAAATGTCTTAGTTCTAGGATGGATCTCTCTTTAACAAGCTCTCACCCATTACTCCTTGTCTTGGCATCTGGCGCTTTGGAGAATAAACCAATCCCCTCATCTGTGATGGCCCCTCAAGTTGTGGAAGACAGTCATTGTCGTTGTCATCCCCCCCCTCCCCAATTCTCCTGTCCTGTTAGACATGCACAGCTCCCTCAACTGTTCATACAATTTAGTCTCTAGACCCATTTATGGCATCTTCTTCCTTGCTCTTCTCCGCACCCGAAGGCCTCTGCATCTTTTCTGTGTCACGATGGCCAGAACTGGATGCACTGTTCCTACTATGGTCTTATGGGGTGTGGCACAAAGCTGGACAAAATCACTCTTGTAATCTTGATGCTGTCCCTCTGTTGAAGCAGCCCAGAACTGCACTGGCCTTTTTGGCAGCTGCAGCACATCGCTGGCTCATGCTTGTGGTGGTGGATGCTTAGATCTCTCACCTAGACCTGTTGAGCCAGGTATCAACTATTTTGTATCTATGGTTTTTCCTGCCTTTGTGCAGGATTTTAACTGTTCACCACGAAAGTACACCTTGTTAGATAGGGCTCAGTATTCCTTCTCAGGTGTTAGCAATACCAGCTTGGTGTTATCTGCCGAGTTCTTCTATCCCATTTACTACATTTATTAAGATGTTGAAGACAGAACCTTGTGGTATCCCACTGTATGCTTCCCTCCAGGTAGATTTAGTAGTAGTTCCACTGAGGACAACATGCTAGGTGTGGTTCGTCAGCCAACTGAGAATCCATCTGGTGGTGGTACTGTCTATCCAAAATTGTTCTATCTTACTAGGAAGTTGGTTGTAGCCCACTTTATCAAATGCCGAACTGAAGTCCAAGTATACTATATCTACGGCCTTTTGTTAGTCCACTAATTTAGTCACTATCAGAAAAGGCAACAAGGTTTGTCTGGCATGATCTGTTTTTAAGAAACCTATGCTGGCTTCTAGTAATCACCTTGTTTGTTTCTAGTGTTCACAAATCCTCTGCTTGATGATCTCTTCCAAGGTTTTCCCATGTATTGACATCAAACTGATTTTCCAATAATTTCCTGGATTCATCTCCCCCTTTTTATAGATTGGAATTCCCATCAACCCCTTTCCAGTCCTCTGGGAGTTTCCCTGTGCTACAGGATATTTGAAATATTACATTCTGTGGCTCCAAAATTACATTTGCCACTCTTTCAGAACTCTGGGATGCAAACCATATGGCCCAGGTGGTTTGTACTTCCCCAGGCTCGATAGCTATTCTCTTACAATTCCTTTCTTATTTTGACTTGTACACTTATTCTATCTCCCTCAGTGCTACTTTTGGTAGGTCATTTTCTCTTTTTGCATAAAAACAAAGACAAAGAAGGAATTGAGCAGTTCTGCTTTCTCCCTGCTCCCTCTCAGCTTCTCTGCAGCTCACCTTCTGCCTGTACCCTGTCTTCAAATTTCTTGGTCTCCACTCCACTCCTCTACAGCAGTTCAGCACATAAATACTTTGGGACCAAAACGGGGTGTAGAAAAACACAGTACAAATTTATACCCAGCAAAGTTTGTGGGGTAAGTGGTAGTACAGCAGTTCTAAACAGGCTTTGGAGCAGTATCTCAAACAACAAGAAGTTCTTTCAGCCCAGAGTGAAGAAACTAAAATCAAGTCCTCCCCTGGAGTAAAAGGCAAGGAACCATTTATAAAGCTGAGTGCCCCCTGCTTCACCTGTTGCTACAGGTGTTGACTCCGTTAGAGTCCCTCCCAAAAGGATGCAAGAGGCCCAAATGTTGCTTCCCAGCTGCGTCAGGAGAGGCCGACAGTTGGGCCCTTTGGTTGGTATGATCTTTCCGGCAGCAGCAGCAGCAGCAGCAGCATCCCAACTTCTGGCAGGAGCTTAGAAGTGCCCTGGGCAGGGCAGCATTCAGGCTTTTCTCAGGTGGAATGGACAACAGGGACAGAGGAGCAGCAAATGGCCACATGTCAGCTCAGACGTCATAAAACAGCCGCACAAGCTGGTACCGGATACCAAAAGCTACCAAGCTACCAGCAACCTCAAGACAGAAAGGAGAGGAGGGATGATAGTGCAAACATGCAGCCTGGCTGTTTGCTCATGACTCATCGTACCGAGGCTGTGCTCACCTCACCATAACTGCTGGGTTGCAAAGGACCCCTGGCTACGCATCCTGCTTTGCAGTTTCACGTAACATACCAAGGCAGACAGGCAACAGCATGTGTACTATGGAAACTAAAACTACCTAATCTTCCCCTAAGTAGGTTTTGTTGAAGAGGGCATAACTGTTATCTCCAAGGGAGCATCACTGAAGCTGCCTCCCCCCACACCCCTTGTGCTCCTTACCTGGATTAGCAGCAGCAGAACCGTCAACTTTTGTTCAGGGGTTGGTCCTATCAGCTTCAGCACAAAGTTAATCAGGGTCATGTTATTGCATTCTGTAAATTCTCCATCTTTGTCCGTTCCCTGACGCACATCCACCAGGCAGAGCTTCTCAGCTACCTGGGGAGAAATACACATTACTTATCAGATAAACTTCATCAGCCTGAGGCAGAGCCAAGACACTCTCAAAAGATTGCTGCCCATTTTGGTTAACAGTTACCTTGAGGGTATATACTCCCCAAGGAGAGAGTTTCTTTGACTTGAATCTCGAGTAGCTCATCTCCAGCTTCCCTGTGTCTCCATTGAATCTGGAGGCAAAGATGGAGGCAGTCAGAAGGGAAATGGGGATGTAGCCAAGGCCAGGATGAGCAGAGGTTTGGCTAGAGTAGGAACCGCAGAGGGGACCTGATCAAGGTGGGAATTTCTCTGCACCAAGAAAAGGAATAGTTCTGAGTAAGATCCTTTGTGAAGTTTGGTTTGACAAATCCCTCGGAGGAGAGGTGCACTTCAGAAATGTGAAGGATAGGATAGGATAAAGGAGAGAGGGAAACCAGGGAAAATATAGGTCTTAGCATATGGGATTTACAGCTCCAATCTTTGCCTTGGGGCCACAGCCTTCCTTGGACGGCTGCTTTGAAAGGAAACCCCCTTTTTTGGCTTTAACTCGGGGTGCAGCCAAGCAGCAGGCAGGCTCCTCCTTCTCACCTGGGCAACCGATGGCGGGGACATGGGATGATGTGGAAAAGCTGAGGCAGCGAGTAGAGGAAGTTAGCCACTTGCGGGATGAAGAAGAGAAGCATCGTCTTGCTGAAGTGCCCGAGGATGCCCACCACCGCAAAGGTCATGCCAGCAAAGTAGCAGAAGGTGTCTCCCACAAACACACGGGACGGGTACCTGCAGTCAGCCAGGAGAGAAAGCAGAGGTGGCAGCCACCCAAGGCGGAAGGAAGCATTGGGCGTAATAAAGCACTTAAAAGGGGTCTTTGTTTCCAGGCTGCGGCTGAGGTGACCATCTCTTCCTTCTCAGGAAAGAGAGGGGAGTTGTGTGGCCCCTCCAGACGCCCACAATTTGTCCTGAAAGGAGTGCAGATCCTGCTGTGAGAACAGGACAGCCTTGGCCTTAAAAAAAAATAAAAGGGTGTGTATGTGTGTGTGTCTTACCAATTGTGGTACAGCAGCCCCAGCGTGGTAAAGAAAAAGGGAATCATGAAGTAGAGGGAGAAGACGTGGTCATCCTTGCAATCCCCTGCAAGAAGGAAAACGAGGAGCGGCCAGGTTAGGCGACTGGTGGGCCCAGCCGGCCCTTGCAGTGAGCCGGGGAGAACCTGCACACCCACCTGTCAGCTCCGCAATATTGAAGGTGATGATGGAGGCCGCGATCACCAGGGCCTGCCCGGCTTCCAGACCGTTAATCCCGGCCAGGATGTTGATTGCGTTGGTGCAGAAGACGGCCAGCATGCCCATGTACACGTAGTAGAGGATTCCTGCGGGGGAAGCAGAGGCGCTGAGCAGAGCCCCCCAAGTGACCCTCCGCCAACCGGCACCCCGGCAGCCCCGTCTCACCCAGGTCGAGGTAGGTGCCCAGCAGTGCCCGGAAGGGCTTGGGCACCACGATGGTGGTGTTCCCGAAGTTGGTGAAGTAGACCATCAGCAGCGGCAGGGAGGCGGCGGTGGGTAGCAGCAGCTTGTGCCGCCAGCGCAGGTTGAGCACGTCGTCGGCGAAGCCCAGGAAGATCATGCAGCAGATGGCCAGCAGGGCGCCCACCAGCGCCACCAGCTGCAAGGCAGGCGGGCGGGTCAGCGGCGCCCTCCCCGCCCGCAGACCCCCCACTCCCCGGTGCCCGCCCGGCTTACCTCGTGGTGCGGGAAGGCCTGGCAGCGCTCCCCGGCGAAGCAGCTCAGGAAGGGCACCGGGATGAAGCAGAAGAGCAGCACCAGGAAGACGGCGCCGCTGATCACGCCCTGCGACTCGGGGCTGCGGGCGAGAGCGCGGCCGGTCAGCCCCGCGCCGGCGCCCCCCCGCCCCGCCCCGCCCCGGCGCCCCCCCCGCCCCGCCCCGCACTCACACAGGCTGCCGGGAGGGCTTGTTCAGGTCGGTCCCGCACAGCCGCGCCGCCAGGAAGTGCTCGCGGAAGGCGGGGATCAGGCGCAGCGTGGCCCAGCAGCCCAGCGCCGAGCCGCCCAGGTTGATCAGCAGCGGCACCACCGGCAGCTTCCCCATCGCCCTGCGGGGAGCCAAGGGCCCAGGCCGTCAGCGCGGCCTTCCGCCCGCCCGCCCCGCGGGGCTTCCCCTTGCCCTGGCTGCAAATGGCGGCCCGCCCGTCACGTGGCCCCACGTCAAACGGCTGGCTGGGTCGCTGGGGCGAGGGGGGGTGCGTCAGTTAAAGGGGCCGCAGCCTGGCAGACGCCTCCGGGCGACGTTTGGCGCAGCGAGGCGCAGCTGGCCGACTGTCGCGCCCGAGCGCAGGAAGCCGAGCCCCGAAGGAGCGGGCCCGGAGCCGCCTCCGCCCCGCCGCCCTCTGGCGCGCTGCCCGGGCTGGGCTCCAGCGCGGCGACCCCCAAACACCCCTGCCCGGCCGGAAGGCAGCCTCCCCGGCGCAGCCTTTCGGGGAACGGAGCGGCGGGCGGGGATTTCGCCCCCGGACCCCCGCCGCCCTCCCCGCCTTGAGGCCCGCCGCGCTTACGTGGCCGATCGGTCGGGGCCCTTCGGCGGCCCTCTCGCGGCGGCAGGTGCCAGCCGAGCCGCGTCCCGTCCGGCGCCTTGAAGGCGGAGCCGGCCACGGGGCGGGCAGCGGCGGCCTTAGCCCTGCCCAGCCCTCCGCCCGCCCCTCTCAGCGCCGCGGCGCCCCGCCCGGCTGAGCCGTCACGGGAGGCGGAAGAGCCCGGCTGCCCTCTAGCTCCGCGCCGGCTCCGGGAAGGAGGAGGCGAGCCGCGCTGCCCCCGCTCGCTTCGCCCGCCTCGCCATGCACCCCCTGGCCGGCCCGTGAGCGGCGGGCGCGCCATGGAAGAAGCGGCGGCGGCGGGGCCGGGCTGGGGCTGGGCGGCGCTGGTGCTGCTCTTCGCCGTCTCCCTGCTCACCGTCTCGGCCTGGCTGCTGCAGCTCGGCCGGAGCCTCTGGCGCGGCGGCGGCGGCGGCGGACGGGCGGCAGAAGCCCTGCGGAGCCAGGCGGCCCCCGCCCCCGCCGGCCTCTGGGCGGCCGTGCTACGCCTGGGCTCGGGCCGCGGGGGCGCCGGGAGCTGTCCGGCGGCCGGGGCCCGCGGCTTGCTCGCCTCGCTCTTCGCCTTCCGCGCCTTCCGCGAGAACTGGCAGCGAGCCTGGCTGCGCGCCCTCAACGACCAGGCCCGCCAGCACGGGGTAAGCCGGCCGGGAGGGGCTGCGCTCCGGCCGTGTCCCACCAAGGCCGACCGGCCCACCGGCGGGGGAGGGAGCGGGGCCGAGAAGCGGAGGGAGCGGGCGGCTCTTCCCACAGCAGCCGCTGGCCCGAAGCCCGGCTGAGAGGCTGATGGAGCCCTCTTGGCCGGCTTCTGCTTCTCCGGGCTAATCCTCAGAGAGGCTGGCCGGCCTGCTGGTTCCTGGCCGCCTGGCGAGCTCGGCTCCTTCCCGCCCCAAGGAAGCCGGGACTGGCCGGCTCCCCTGAAGAGAGCGCGCCTGCTTAGGAGGGAGCCCCTTGCCGGGCCGCGAGCGTTTCTCGGCCCCTTCAAATGGGGATCCGGGCAGGAAAGGGGCCGGAGAGCCTCTGCCCGCAGTGCTGCTCTCGGTCGTCCTTGCTGCCCTCCGGGTCAAGTTCCGAAGGAGGCGTTTCCCCCTCCCGGAGAGGCACCAAAGGCCGCTCCGGGTATTTGCATGAAGAAGGCAACCTGATTTGGGAAAGGTGCCGTTGCCTGAGCTGCCTTGGCTCGGCGCCCCGCCCTCCTTCCGGCCCTCCCAGGGTTTGGGATCAGGCCAGCGTTGGGGCTCTTGGGGCAGCCTGGCGCGGGCCGCCAGACAGGGAAATGCCAGGGGCCCCGCAGAAGGCCAGGCTTGCCCCTCCCTCCTCTACAGGTGCTGAGAGGGAGGAGAGCGCTGCATTTGCTTCCCCTCCCACTGCTTTCCTTTCCTCACCCTCCGCCTCCCCTACCGCCCCACCTCCCTCCCCCCGGCCGGTTTCTTCCACTATTCTTACAAAGCCCGAAGGTGGGGCAGCACCACAGCAGCTCCCCATTAAGCTTGCTATCCCGAGTGTCCTCCTGGCCAGCTGGAGGATCTGGTTTTCCTCACAGAAAGTCGCAGAAGCAAAGGCCGGGTGGACAGTAGCCAGAGAGTTTTCTGCAGGCTACGCAGAAACCCCCCTGAAGAGGAACAGCGCCTGGCATGCAGGGACAGAGGTCCATCTCAGCAGGGTTTGGGGGGGGGGAGGCCTCCGTGCTGGCCAGGGTTCGTGTTATTTCATGCCAGGGCTTTTGCGCTGCCCCCTTTCTTGGCCTTCCTCAGCAAGACCAGCCCTGAAGCAGGGCAGGAGCAAGGAGGGGCTGCCGTCCAAAGGGGCTGGATTGGCTCCGCTTGGGAAGGAGAGAAACCACCAGAAGGCTTTTCAAGTGCAGCACAGTCTGGCCCCCTTGGGACTGGCAGGCTGCTCCAATTGAGCTGTTTCGTTTGCGTAGTTGATTTCCCTGCGCCATTTGCATAGTAACAGGCATCGTGTTCACTTGTTCTCTGATTAGGTTTCTAGTTCCTTGCTATACATTCAGCCCAGAAATAGTTGGTGCATTTGCTGTATTGCAGACCTGGCAGGGGGCTGCCTTGTTCTGCATCTTAAGCACCTGGGGGCTCTTCTTGCAGAGAAAATGGATCTCTTGCTTTGGGACTGTGACTGTATCAGGACTAGGAGGCCACCAGCCTCCCCTCCCCCACTCAGGGAGGACCCCAAAGACCCAAAGGCCAAGGAAGAGGGGAGGCCAGCCCTTCCTGCAGCCCAAGCTGCCATCCTTCTCTGAGAGGTGGCTTGCCGGCACCAGCTCCATGGCAACTTGGCCCTTGCTTCACCTGGTGCTGCATCCAACCCACGAGTGGAGGGCGGGCGGCTGCCCTGGAGCGAGCTGAAACCTAGGAATAATGCTCAGGGGGAACGGGGGTGGGGATTTCCAGACGTTCCCGACCACTGGAGGTGTCTCACATTTATTTTGGATATCTCCAGAGGGCAGAGCAAGTTCACTTCCTTCTGAACAGGCAGATCCAGCAGGATTGCTTTAGGATCTCTCCTTCTCTGGGCTTCTTGGTGTTCTGGCCAAAGTCCAAGCGAAGCGCAGGGCTTCAGCTGGGAAAAGCCTTGCACATCGCCAGCACCCTGCCTGGCTGCTCTAGCTTGGACTATGGCTTGAAGTCGGTCCATGCCCAGGAAGGGGGCGCATCTGGACTCCCGCTGGATGCCCTTAGCAAGGGGCACATTGTCTGGCCTTGCAGAAGAGCCCGGACTCCAAACGTGACCTTGTCCCGTGGGCTCCCTCCTGCGGGCTAACCGGCCTTTCTTCTCCCCAGAGCTCAGTCCAGATCACGTTTGAGGAAAGTCCTCGGCAGTTGCCGGCCGTAACCATCAACCACGTGACCTGCACTGACCAGTCGGATCACAGGATGGTGAGTCCTCCGGAGGGCCAACAGCAGCATCGCCTTTGCCTGCAAGGGGTGGCCCTGCTTTGAACCCAGCCGGTTTTTACATCTCTCACCACCCACCGTTCAGACTGACTCCCCACTCAGGGAAGCTTCCCAGCATCCTGCAGTGTGCCGAGGGGGGATGCTTGGACTCCAGGGAAGGGGGCTTCTGGGTAATCCCCCCCCTCCCAGTTTCCACACACAGACTCCGGCTGAGAGCCCGAGGGCTTTGTGGCCTGAGATGCCTCAGTATGCCAGCAACTGTTTAAATGCAGGACAGGGTGGGTGAGGAGCCCCCCTTCCGGTTGTGGGCAAGGGCCAGGGGCTGGGCTCCTCTCTGAAGCTGCAGAAGTCCCCAGAAAGGCTGAGGGAGCTGTCTAAATGCAGAAGGATGGAAACGGCTGCTGTCCTTGGGGGAGTTGGCTGTGGCCACAAGGTCAGCAGCAACTGGGGGGAGGGGGGGGGAAGAGCTATTTGTTCCAGGGTTCGCCAAGGCATTGACAAGCAGCTAGGGAGGCTGACCTTGGCAACTGCCCTCCGGCATGGGACAGCTAGCTGACCTCTTAGATCACAGCAGGCTACCTACAATCCAGTGGCCCCTGCAGGAGGAGCCCAGATCAGGAGGAAGGTGGGGGGCCCTGCAGCTGAGCAGAAGGGGCAGGAGGGGGGAGGGGCTGCTCTTTGCAGGCACCAGATGTCGGCTTGGAGACGAAGGCTTAAGTTGCCAGGAAGCTCTGGAAATAAGGAGGACACAGTCCTGGGATGCCAGCTGATTGGATAAGTGGAAGGAAGGGAGCACCGTAACCCCCGGGGGGCTTCCTTGAGGGCCCCCCTGAATGGGGGTGATGATGCTCAGCCAAGGCCTGAAACTCCCAGTTAGACAGAGACTGCGATGTGACAGCAGAGAGTGTGGATGTAGCTGCCTGGATATGGAGAGCAGCTCTGGAAGAGGGATCTGGATTAAGAGCGGGAGTTGAGCGGATTAACTTGTTTTCTGCTAAGATTGCGGGGTGTGTGTATGTGTGTGTGTGTGTGTGCGCGCGTGTGGCAGCTTCTCCTCCTGTTTTCTTGCTGAAAGCCGCCCCCCCCCCCCCCAAGAACTGTTATTCACTAGGCTTAGGGACTTCTCAGCTGCAGGAGCTTTGCGGGGAGACTGCAGGAGGGAAATGGGGCAGGAACACTTGATTAAAGCCATTTTTCCAGACCCCAATCAATGAGTTACCTTCAGTGGTTCTTTCCAAAAGCTTAAAGCTGATGGGATGGCAGTTATTGAGTTCTACTGTTGCTGCTCTGACTATAGACGGGGGAGGGGGAGGGGGAAGAGGGGGCTGAGGTAGTGTGTACTGTGGGGTTGCTGCTGCTGCTGCTGCTGCTCTGGGAAGATGCTCGTTGACTGCCCGTCGTCCCTTTCCTCCTCTACCCAGGTGTTGCACTGCCTCCTTTCAACGGACACGCTGCAGTTCCCGGTCTTGGTTGCCCAGCAGTCCCCGGCAGCCGTGTCTATGGACACCTATTGCGTCTCTCTGGCTGTGCAGCAGGCCCAGGTGAAGGAGGCAGGAAGGGGTGGGTGGCTTTGGGCCCTGGCGTTTGATGCCAGGTTGGCCTTTGCACCCTTGCATTGGTGACCTGGGCAGCCCTTAGTGGGATTTATTGTGGGTGTTTGTCTATAATTCCGCCTGGCCATTTGCACTGACATCAGCTTTGTCCTTTGGCCAGTTGGAGATCCGCCTGGAGGAGGTGGAGGGCGAGGGCCTGCTGGTCTCCTGGGCATTCAAAGACAGGCCTGACCTGAAGCTCTCCATCCCGCCGAGGCTCCAGCCACACTGTGTAAGCAAAGGGAGGGGCCGAAGAGGGGGATGAAAGCGCCCTCCCCGTCCTGGAGCTCCGCCTTGATTCTGCCAAGGAGGCCCGGGGGGGGGGGTTTGCCAGCCGCTGCCTTTGCCCACCAGCCTGTTGTGGGGCTGCCTGGGGGAATGTGTGGCCCTTTGCTTCTGCCACGGATGCCAGGGGATGTGGCCGGTCCGTGTAGTTCAGCGCGAAATTCAGTGGAAGACGGTTCCCTGAGCTCCTCCGGAACTCGCTGCAGCACCGGCTGGCCTGGCATAATTTGCCTGCTGCCCCTTGCAGGAAAACGATG